CGCGGATATTTTGCAAGTTGCGTAGCATTTTTCCGAGCCCTGTAGGGGCGAGGAAAAATACGAGCAATGAGCAAAATGTCCGCTCGTATTATATGTTAAACCATTGAATTTATTATTATTTATTATTCTACTGCAAAATTTCCCTACTATTATGCTATTTTCCGTGTTTGCTCTGTTCAACTGGTCAATACGGTCTCATATTTTGCATGTTCTCTTGACCTTATATGGTGAAATGATGTAATAGTGGAATAATAATTAAAAGTGTTTTATCGAGATATCCAAACACATCGAATTTCGTGAAAAATACACCGCTGCGCGTCATATTTTCAACTCTCTTCTCGGTGTTTAGAAATGTGATGAAACACTATCTCTCGTGTTTGATATATTACATCAAAGACACTACACAGACTGCGATACAGCTACAGTTTGACTATGATATGGCTGTACTTCAGCTGCAATTTGACTGCGATTACAACAACAGTATCACTATGGCTCGTGATAGGATCCAGGGAAGGCTGAGGATATGAAAGATAAGGCAGTGAGCAAAATTTATCTAGCATCTCTGCACGTATTGCAGACCTATTGACGTTATTTACTGTATGCTGTTTCATTTCGGGCAGGTGATGACTGGAGCAGTTCCAACCTTGGTGGAAGAATTCTTCTGAGAAATCAACATGGAGAAGTGTTGACCGCCAAGTACGTCGTCATCACTGTCCCACTGACCATTCTTCAAGATGGCGACATAACCTTTATTCCAGCTCTTCCTGTCAACAAGAACGCTGCCATAAACACGATCCAGATGCGAGGTGCTTGGAAAATCGTGTGTCGCTTCAAACACCGCTTCTGGCCCGACAAGCTCCAACAGATTTACAGCGTTCGTGGGTTCTCTAGTGAGATATGGACTCACTCATGTGACTCGCCTGACAGTGACGTCAAGTGTCACGTGATAGTCGGGTTTGAAACAGCTGAGCCCGCGGAAGAGAAAAGTGTGCTCAGCGGACAGGAGGTTTTAGATGGATTTTTGAGCCATTTGGATGAGATGTTTGGGTATGATAATACTTAGCGCTATAAAGATGGTCGTATATAATTTTAACAATAATAATTATTATCAGACTGCTACCTCGAGGCTTCTTTGGGGTGCTAGTAGGTGAGCCAACCATCAAAGTCAATAGAAACCGAGAGCGAACAAATTGTTTGTTTCAGCCCAGTGGCGGATTTATTAAACATAGAATATCGATAAAACTGATTGACACTCGAAACTTAGACAAAATCTCAAATGACAAATCTTTGACAAAAAAACTAGAAATCGTAATCATAAAGCGACAACTGTCTCGATACTCCACATGCACAATGGCCAACTTCTGATGTAAGGCTATCGCCCGGGGCTATCGTAGCTTACTTGCAACCGCTGCAACGGAAGTAAAGCGATTGACCAATCAGAAACGACGTTCTGAGAGAGTCAAACCTGTTTAGCGGTCAGTAGTGGAAGTCCCAAAAATTGCTTCACTTAATCACTGTAAACTTGACCTCTGTTAAGCGGTCACCTCTATAAGCCGACGCGGTCACCTCTTTTGCAAGTCCCTGAGTGAGCTGTTTTTATTGTTTTGACCTGTATTAAATGGTCACCTTGCCAAATTCACGAGATTATGTTTGGATTTTCTTGCCAAAGCACACTGAAAATCACTTCAACTGCCTTTCGGTGAAATTCAGTAATGTGGAGCCATTGTGTTGCTTTCTTTTATTAAAATTGAAATTACAGAGTTTGTATCATGTTTGTATTGTTAACAGTTTTCGCCAAACCTGTATTAAGCGGTCAGTATGCCATTCCCCGAGGGTAACCGCTAATACAGATTTGACTGTATGTTCATAATAACTGTGTATTTGCTTTCATCTTTACAGCACAGTCTCTGACCCGCATCCCGCCACCGACTCCATAATGGACCATGTGTACTTTCACTGGTCCAATCATCCATTCATTCGGGGAGGATACTCCTCGCCTACTGCTCATGCGTACGACCTGCGTCACGTGTTAGCCAGCCCTGTAGAAGATCGCCTTTTCTTCGCTGGTGAAGCGACTAGTTTGAGATCATGTTCAACTGTGCCTACTGCTATAGAAACTGGAACACGCGTGGCAGATGAAGTCTGTCACTCAGCGGGATTGAATCCTTGTGCAAAACTTTAATTAATTAGGGACTGTGCAATAATTATCAGGAGGGGGGGGGGGGGGGTTGGAAAATGGGCTTCATGTAGCCAAATATTAGGTAATACCCCCCCTCCTAAAGGAGTGAATTTAGTTATTGCCCCCCCCCCCCCTCTAATCAGTCAGAAATTATGTACGACCCCCCCCCCCCCCCCTCACAGTATACACACACCTTTATACAAGTACGCTGCTACATTTTCTCTACACGCACCTGTGGATTAAAATCTTATAACAGAAAGAAGAGCTCCTACTGCATGTTTAATTGTTGGACATCTGGGTCTGGAACAAATATCACCTCCGTAACAATGTTCAACAGAACTATAGCAGAAGGAAAAGGGCATGTGTGTTATTTTCAGGTCCGGTGAAGGAAAGGAAAATTTTTCGGCCCCCACCTTATAAATAGGTATGGATTCACCAATGTAATATGTACTTTAAATAAAATGTTAAGCCCCCCCCCTCTTGAGTGACTTATTTTACCTAGAGCCCTCCCCCCCTCTCCTTGCTTTGATTTTACTTTATGCCCCCCCCCCCCCCTCTGGTTTTCCAACCCCCCCCCCCCCCCCTCCTGGTAATTATTGCACAGTCCCTTACCGATGCATTGTGATATTGTACTTCGTGGAGAGATATCCAGTGACTGCATGGTGGCATTAAGATGGCGGCCAGTGGGTAAAAGGGCAATAGGTAGACCGTAAACGACCTGGAGGAGGACAGTGGAAGTAGAGAGACGGCAGGCAGGATGGAACAACTGGAGCACTGTGAGAGCAGTAGCCAGAGACAGGATGGCATGAAAGCAGAATGTTGCGATGCTGCGGCCTTGTGCACCTACTGGCGTGAAGAGCAGTGATGATTGTACTGCATGGGGTGATCGAAGACTATATATATTATAGAGAAATACATGAACATGTATAAGCTACCAAGAAATTTATTTCATGAGAGATCAGTATATCTTATTCAAACACAATGGAACAGTCTCTTTATGGAATGGTTTAGATAGTACTATTAAGTTATGCGAATCCATTTCTACTTTTAAAAGAAAATTAAGAAATAAACTCTTATGTGAATTTTTAGCTTCTCAGTAGAATTTACTATTAATTTTATTGTAATTTTTATCGTAATTTATTGTAATTCTTAACATAATTTTATTGCAGTTTAAGGTAATTAACACCGAAAAGCCCCATTGGGGAGTGTTAATAAAGTTTGTATTGTATTGTAATGGAAATACAAACAAATAGATACTTTATATTTTACAATTGATTCAAATTTATTCTGCATACAATAATAAGCTAAAGGGAAAACTACAACATAGATATATATATTCCCGGCCTGCACCGGGTGACCTCACTCCCTCCCAAACGCACCAAGCTGGAACAAGTTATAGGAAGAAGCGAGCTCTACAGGACCTACAGCGGCTACTTCCAATTACAAACTCGTAAGCGAAGGAAAATAAGACAAATGCGTCGCTCTCTCTAAACTCGTTTCTTTTTTACATGTTGTCCCCTTGGTTTTATGGAAACAAAAGAAATAAAAGAAACAAGGAACTGATAACCTAGGGAACGTTTTTTCCCAGAGCCCTTCGCGCGCTACACTCACCCAATAATAATTTACGCTAATTCAGATTATCACAAATTACCAGTCACATAGCCTGTTCCTCTGTTCCAGGCGTTCGGATAGTGGGGAGCGACACGAAAAGACGCGCGAAGCGCGAAGAGCGGCGAGGAAAAAAAAGTCGAGGTGATTGGCGGAGAGGGTGCGAAAGAACGCTCGAACAGGCTACCAGTCAGAGAATGATAAAATCCGCCGTTCTCAAACCTTTTTGTTAATCTCAGAATGTGAAGTGAAAAACGAATAAGCGGCTTAAGATTGAAAATATATAACAAGATCTCAGCATTCTCATTCGTTCTTTCCACCACAGTTCACATATATGAATACAGTCGAACCCCGATTAAGCGGCCACCCTCGGGGAAATGGGAAGTGGCTGCTTAATAGGGGTTGGCCGCTTAATCGGGGTTATATTTACAGTATTATACTGATATTGGGACTTTGATAGCTGGCCGCTTAATCGGGGTTGGCCGTAGGTGGCCGCTTAATCGGGGCTCCACTGTAATTTCATATATTCATCATCGCCATAATTCTAGTTCCCGGGGGGGGGGGGGGGGGGTACTCTCCCTATAATGGACTATACGGGGAGGCTCCGCCCGAAAGGGGTACCTTTTCAGACTGGAGGTATATAAAGGGTAGGGATTTCACGAGTAGGAGTATAGAAAAGGGTAGGGAAATCTGTCATTTAGGTATGAGGTGGACTGCAGGTTTGAAGTTCTTAGCCATCGTAAGACGTAAGACAGCTTCCTTCCACTTCCTTCTGGGGATATATATACAGTCGAACCCCGATTAAGCGGCCACCCTCGGGGAGATGGCAAGTGGCTGCTTAATAGGGGTTGGCCGCTTAATCGGGGTTTTATTTACAGTATTATAAGCTATTATACTGATATTGGGACTTTGATAGGTGGCCGCTTAATCGGGGTTCGACTGTAGTTCATTCCAAGGGTATAGAAAAGGGATGCAGTGTTTATACTGTAGGTATGTGGAAGGGGTACCATTATCATAATTTCTTTGGAAGGTATATGAAAGGGGTACCATTTCTGTCAAAAATGGTATATAAAAGGGTAAGGGGTTGGACCTCTGGGCGGAGCCTCCCCGTAAAAAAACTTTTTTGAGTACCCCCCCCCCCCCCCCCTCGGGTCTAGTTCATCACTTGATGGGTATCAAGAGAACACACATTATTAACCAGCTCCCTGTGAGTGGCTTCATAGCTCAGTGGTAGAGCGTTTACAATGGAATCGCAAATTTCATGGGTTCAGATGACCCAGTTGGAGCCTGAATTCTTTTCAACTGTTTTTAAAGTTGAAATATAACTGCATGCGAAGATCTCCGTACCCAAATTACCAAAAAAAATTCCTGCACGGCAGTCCCGGGGGGTACTCCCTTATGTGGCCTATACGGGGACATGCCGCTGGACAGGGTATGGTTTTTGGCCTCTCTGCCTGAACAGGGTATATAATTTCATGCGAGTCTGTCCTAAACAGGGTCTGAACCTGTCCTAAACAGGGTATGATTGCACGATTGTCGTCGTAAAAATGTGGTTTATACAGTATTTTAGAGATCGGAGACGTTTGCCGCGTATCAGTCAAACGGGATTCGCTAAATTGCAACCTAAACAGGGTCCTAAAATAGAGGATGTTGTCCTACACAGGGTAGGTATTTTAGGGTTTTTATTGTTAACAGGGTCAGGTTATCAAACCCTCAGTGGCACCCCTATACCCAAACATGGGTCAAGTACCCCCCCCCCCCCCCCCGGGACGGCAGTACTGAGTTATTACAATGATTATTACCAAAGGCCTGGAGGGGAGTGTATGGAGGCCTCCCCCAGAAAATGCATTTTGGTGGATCCTGGAGATGGTTTTGCTATAGCCTGCGAACAAGCTCTCTTGGGGTTTTGGGAGAGTAGCCCACCCCCCACCCCCAAAAAATCCCAAGAGAGCTTGCTCGCAGGCTATGGAGAAAGCAATAAACTCCTCAGATTTGATAGGGGGTCCAGACCTCCCCCGACCCTCCCCTGGATCCGCCACTGGGCTCGACTGCGTCTCGCCAAAATACAAACCATGGCTCGGCCAAACTCGCCTGATCTACGATTAGGTATAAATGTTGGTTCTTATTGCCCTAAAATTTCGACGACTTCAAACTTTTTCTTTGCTGATATCAAATCGAAATAATAAGCCTGCGTGGCAGGGATGAGGGGAGTTTGAGAGCAAGCGCGCCCTCCGATCGCGCTTCGCGCACTCTCCTCGCGCTTCGCGCTCGCTCAAGCCTCCCCTGTTCCTTCCCCTTACGCAGGCTCTCTTCCGGCGGGCAAACTATCCAATCAAAAGCCGAGGATAGCTATTCTTCGGCCTCTGATTGGATGAAAGAATCGAATGTGAATTAAAGGGTCCTCTCAACCAGTGTGCTTTGCGCGCCAATACTCGTACGGCGGCCATTTTCGGGTGCCGCGAAAATAGCGGCTTGAAGTTAAAAACTACTTTTTGCAGGATTCTGGCCTTGTTTCTGGCCACAAAAAGCAGTTAGACGACCCAAGTTAGTACAATTTGGAAAGTATGGCATACATTAGCCCCACGAGAGATCGAGTTCCACGGATGAAAACAATAACACGCGACCGCAAAGCACACTGGTTGAGAGGGACCCTTTAATTAAAAGTGGTCACACTTTCCACTCTGGGTATTTCCGCCACTCCCGAACAGCGGCTGGTAAAATCAAGCTCAGCGGAGATTCGTAGAGAAAGTCTACAAAAAGCCAGCGCATCAACACCTTCCTGTCGCCTCACTCTATGTAGGGGAGAGAGTGGAACTATAAAAAAAACTCACTGGAATCGCGCTAAATTGGCCCAGAAACCACGTAGGAGACAAAGAAATACGGTATCCGGTCGTTTCGCTACAAAGTCGTTTCGCTACAAATCGAAGAAATACTCAGCAGAAGTAAAAGGTAGGCAATTTTTATTCAAAACTGGTCCAAGAATAGACCGTTTTTCCCCATACACTATATATTTTCGACGGTTATGTTGCTTGGGCGACCTATGGGGACTATGGGATTATTCGATGAACTAAAATACACCAAAACAACTGCGTGAGTGAGTCTGCCTGAAATGAAATGATTCAATCAACGGGTATTACTATAAACGGAAATATACATGGTTCATGCAACCAATCGATTTAAAGAAAAGCTAAACAAACATAATCTTTAATCATACCTCTTTTCAAATCACACTGAATGTGGAACGCGGGCTCTGGGCTTATCAATACCGGTTAGTCACGCAACCGACACTATAAATAAATAAACAGCGATACAGCCACTTCCGGCGGGTTTTGTTTTGGAACGACCGAAGAAGAGAACGTATTCCGAGCACTGTGATCGAACTCTCTGATTATGTCGCCTATTCAAGATTTTTCCAGCCTGTTGTGTTTTGTTTTACTTTTCTCCGGCCTGATGTGTGTTATTATTTTATTGGTTGTGATCCTGTGTCAGATTCGTAGAGCTGTGGACGAGCCGCCGAGGGTGCATGCTCAAGAGACAGTTCAACAGCACATTTTACAGCCGAGATATCGAGGAAACTTGCAGAATTTGGGAAGAAACGAAGTGAGCCAAAATCACTGCGTTCCGCGTAATCCCCATCCAACAGAACATGATGAACCTCAAGATTAAAAGTAAGTTGTAGGTTTTTTAAAAACTTTTGTTTTACACGTAGAATTGAATCACGGCACGTATAAGTACGAATACACGAGTGGTAACTTTTTTTTTAGTTTGTCAGCACAAACTCAGTAGCTTAACAGGTGTTTGCGTTTATTTATTTCAGTGATTTTTACTTATTTTTATATTTATTTTGATCAAATTTTGATCATATATAAACGCGCGAAGGGCATACAACGTCGCACAACTCCGCACAAACTGCCTCCAACTCGCGTTTTCGTTCCAGCGGTCGGCATTCATGCACAACCGGATATATATGCAAATTACACAACCGCACGTGACCATAAAAAAGGGACACCTCATTCTCGTTCCCAGATCCTCCTTTCTTTTGGCACGTCACAACATTTAAAAAAAACCGCGTAGCTCTGGGGACGAGAATGGGGACACCTGGGACAGGCGAAAAATGTCTGCGCAGGCGCTGTGCAAAAAATCACGTGATTCGATTCCGCAGTTTTAATTGGCTCTCAGGTAAAAATTCCCTCGAGATGCGAGGAAAAATGTCTGCCGTTTCGGCGTCGACAGCCTCTTGGTTTTCCCACCTTTTTGAGAGAACGGTGATTCGTTTTTCGCCGATTTCAAGTGGAAAGTATTCGCCACAAAATTTTACGATGTGGCACCGTTTAACAGATCCATTCCAGCTTGTTTTCAAGTAAAAATCGGCGTTGGGATCAGATGTTTGTTTACGCCAAAAAGATGTGCGAAAAAGGTGAGTTATTTTCACATTTATTGATAGTGCAAGTCTCTTGCAACCTGGTACAGTGAGATATTATAAGGGTTGAAACCCGCACGTGGTCACGTGCGGTTGTGTAATTTGCATATATATCCAATACATTGCAGATAAAAGTTTATGTGACCTTCAAGTCATAGCTAGTTCAAGTTTATTATCCATGATGGAATGATTATCATCACCATAGGCAAAAACATTTGGTTATGTATGATCAACTTACATATTTTCTTTTTTAAAATAAATGCTGAGGGGATTTTATTTAAAACTCCACTTTGAACAGCAGGTACAGTTCATGTATTGACACTGGGCATCATTATTTGAAAACCTTGCTTTTGTCATTGATACTTTTAAAACTTCACTGAAATAAAAGCATAACTTTTAAAACAATAAACATCAATCAAACAAGAAATATAAAAATGTCACTGACTTCTCTTCTGGTCAATATTATACATGTAAGAACCAGGCGCGGATCCAGACCAGCTTACACATGTTTTACGGAAATTGGTCAAATTTTCCAAAATGACTCCAAATCGAGGGAAATATTATTTTAGAGAACGTTTGCGGGGAAATTGCCTCCAGACTTCCATAAATTCGGCACTCAGTCTAGTAAACCGGTCAAGTTTTTTCCTGGATCCGCGCCTGAGAACAGTGGAGTGTCATACAGATTACTGTTTAAAACCTCTCTTAGGGTGAAATTTAACCGAGCACCACCTGGTGGTGGTCAATGAAACCTGTTAAAATAATATTAGTACGGGTAGTCTTATTGATCAATGAGAATCAGCTACATGAGGTTGGGTTCAAATAAACACCAAACCTAAAAAAAATACAAGTGTAACTGCTGGCCATGGGGGTGTTTATTGCCAACAAGTCAGACCTTCTGAATACAGAAGGCCTGATGAGGTGGCAGATTATACATGTAGAGCCTTGAAAAGTTGTGTGGGTGGAAAAGATCTCATAAACGCTCAGAAATGTGTAATTTATCACAACACTCATTAATAATTCATAAAGAAAATACAAAAGAAATGAATGTTTAATGAATATCTGTAAATCACCCTGATTTACATAAACGTTTCCTTCAATTTACTCGCCTAAAATGATTTGTATAGCCAAGATAGTCGATAAGCATGAACATTTAGATGCATTTGTGTTGTAAGCTCGATGCACTATTCGCATTGATCTGTATGACCCTGTATGGGATTTACAATGGCTCGCCATTGTATAACTAGTACAGTGGAACCCCGTTAATACGACCACCATCGGGCCATGAAAATTTGGTTGTATTAACGGGGTGGTCGTATTATCGGGGTAGGGTCAAATTATGGTGCTATACCCTCCTAAATAATGCCATGACAACTATACCTTTAATTCCGCTATAAATTGAACACGCTAATCACTAATAACTTTGCCGGATAACATTCACTAAAATGCATTACTCTTTGTCAGATTGTGTCTGTTTTCATTCAGCAGTCTTACCAGGCATTTTGACTGGTCGTATTAACAGGGTAATTTTATAAAGAAAATAATGACTGAGAAAAGGTGAATGAATGACAAAAGGTGGTCATTGGTCGTAATAACGGGGTGGTCGGATTAACAGGGTTTTTAGATAAGAAAATGAGTGGGCTTTTGTTCGGGCCACAAAAAAGTGGTCGTAATAACGGGGTGGTCGTATGGCGGGGTTCCACTGTATAGAACAAGACTTTTTTATCTGGAATTTATTTGAGCAGCTGTTATTTGGGTAGTCACACAACACTTCTCGGGTGAAGCATTGCGTGTTGACACAAATACATGTAAGGGCTGTGAAGGAGACTAGAGACCCGGGGAAGGTAATCTGTGAAGTTTTAGGTGGGGGTG